ATTCTCTCATACAGAGAATATAAACGGATACATTTTGTGTAAATAGGTAGATGAATTGTACTATAAAACTATAGAACAGCACAAAACCAAACAAGTATAACACTATTAAAATATGATTACAAAAACAAACCTGCCATTAAGATTGGGCTTGATCAGTACAGCCACTGTTGGATTTTTGCATTTTTTTGCATTTGTTTTGTGCTCAAGTAGAATGGCCACAGAATGGCAATAGTGTTTAACTGTTACCATGTACATACAAACAGTAAGATGAAGACAATAAGACAAATCCTAGAAGCCAGGTATTTTTTTTTTTTTTATTATAGTGTTAAATATATTTTTGCATTATTTCTTTTGAGTCGGGTGAATGTAAAATACTGTATATTCATTTTTCAATTTATCATCACTTGTCCAGCAGGTGGTATTTTGTATTAGCTATTCTCCATTTTGTACCATTTTACCACTTTGATCTGAATAGGCTAAAAATGTATCTGTTCTTCAGAACACACACATGGGCTTAATGAGTCAGAGGAGGGACACATCCTACTGCCTCTTACTGTTCTTATTGTTTTATATTAGAGACCAACTGCAGCTAAAACCTTTCTTTTTCATTTTTTGTTAGGTTAAAAAGAATTAGAACATCTATCAGGTTTTTTTTTTTCTTTCTGTGCCCCCATTTGGGAAACTTAAGGTTTGTCCTTTTAATGAGTATTACCTGTATATGTGATGGGTGTCAGATAGGGAGGAGGAGGTGAGGATAAATCTCCCTAATGTGAACACATGCAGCAAATACAAACACTTTTTCAGATACAGTGAGGAGGTTTTGTAACTTCTGTGCAATTTTTTACCAATGTCTGTGTTTATGTGAGAGAGATTTCTTCTTACTTCCTGTCCAGGTGATAAATGCCAGACAGGAAAATAAATCTCCTGTATCGTGACACCAAAAGCATTTAAAATCAGGATTAAAAATCTCCTCATTGGGAACACAAACAGAATGTATAACCTGACCAAGGCTTTACTCTTACAATAAATAAAAAAAAATGGCTGGATTTGGGATTTAGGTTTCAAACAATCTAAGGTGAGCAACAAATGCTAGGCTTTCTTACATGAAAGTCCAGTATACTTTTTATATACAGTATCATGAATATCACACTGTATCATGAGTATCATAAGTATCATCACTGTATCATAAGTATCATCACTGTATCCAAGTAATGAATAGATATTATAAAAGATCAGTTTATATTATTTGCATATCAAAGCAACCAGTAGATCCAGATATTTAGGCAGTTCAATTTAAATGCAATTCCCAACTTTTCCTGTTAAATTCAAATTTGGCTCCTTCTTTCCTCCTAAGCTGCCTTTTGGTCACTCTGGTGATGAGCAGCCTCACTGACCAAAAAGAAGAACCAGGAGGTGGGAGGGATGGGAGGGATGGGACCAACCTCAACTTTTACAAGAAAAGTAGTTATTGACATGTTGTTTTTACTGAAGGGAACACATGCTTATTTATCACATACTGAGTTTAAATTGCTCACGTTTTGTTGTTTACCCAAGTGGCTTAGAGATTATCAGCAAAGAAAGGTAATTTAAGTTGATTACAACAAGTTTAAAGGCCAACTGATATTTTAATCTGGTATAGCTGCTTACAAATTGAATGGCAGGCTGTCTTAAATCTCTTAGTTGGCAAAAAATGTTTCCGTGAGATTTGCCAGTTCTGCCAAGACTCTGCATCCATTATAGACCCTAATTATGGTCTCAAGCTCCCCTGATGAATTGTTCATAGTCTAGAAGACATAAATAATTGGGGATTCCAAGAGAGTAAGACTACTGCAATGGTCTTGTAACAGACACAAAATACTTGACAATGGACTCTGTAGGATTTGAAAATAAAATATAATTTTCTGGGGACTTTTTTTTTTTTACTCATAGAATTGATTTTTCATACAAAGTCACCTTATGACAACAATTTACAACTACATTACTGCAATTTCAGTTGTTTTGGGCTCTACCGCTATTATTAATACTACTTTTAAAGCATAGAACCATTTTATTTATGATGAAGACTTTGGACAGAACAATCATGATCAAATTTGAAATATTTGTTTTTTTTTTTGTTATTGATAGGGATGTTTTAAAATATGTAATTAAATATGTTATAATTTAAAAATTATACAATAGATGGGTTGTATTTTAATTATGATGGTTTCATTTGATAACTGCTAATGCATTTGTAATGCAAATTACAAGTTGATATGTTCTTACACCGATATTAAGTATTATTGTACACTAGCTTTAATTACTATTGATGTTTCAAAGTTATACATACATATGTGTGTATGTGTATGTATATGCATATGAATATATATCACACACCTGTATATAGAAACATTTTCTGTTGGGAGACATAGCACATCACCATGTTACAGCATGGTGTTTAACAGTATTTGGCTTATCTGTTCTGAGTTAAGCATGCTTGATGCAAACGATGACCCCTCCGTCTCCATGATTTGTGTCCACCGACTCTGAGCATTAAGTTAATTTTCCCCTGGATTTCTGAGTCGCGTCCTCCTTACCCCGCGGAAACACTGTGAAGTATACAGGTTTTGACCGAATGACAGAGCATGGAGGGTGAAATTAGATGAATTAAATTAGTATATGACAAAAAGCCTATCTAAATATCTGTCAGAATTTTACCTATACACTGTCCTAGCTAGCCACTAGTAATGAGCCCTCTGCCGAGGCTTGGTAGCCCATTGAAGGGTTGGTTTAATGACTTTTGACTTGTGATGTGACTGCTTTTGACTTGTAAGTACTACATCTTTTTAACAGCATGATTTTCATTATGTAAGCTATTCTAGCATATGTTACAATCCTACCAATTAAACTGTAAAACAAGAACCATTAAACAAAGGTATATACTAATGAAACAACATCCTAATGAAAAAAGGTAACCGGCAAAAAGTAAATGTTGTGGCTACCATTATTTCCATGTAGAAACAATCTCCCTAGTCTAATTCATGATGCGTGTTTGTGAAATATTAAGTAGGAACACAAATAGTTAATTCAGACATCAATTTCTGTCCATTGTATGATAGTGGTAAGCTGGTGATCTCTTGATCTTTGATTGCATCTTGGCTAGTAAGTATCTCGTTATTAATCAAAATGGCTTGTTCTGCATGTAGTGTAAGTCACCTTCACAGATGGGATATAGCATCAGAGTTGCATTTAAATATTTGTTTTAATCCTGTCTAAAATAGACATGCTTTGTGTTGCTGAGTTTAAATCGGATTGTACTAGCTAAACAGCTGTAATAAGAAAAAGAAATTTGCTTTTCTAAAACACAATATGAAACCTACATGAAAGGGAAAAATGTATGACACAGAAATAATATAAAACATTTCAATGCATAAAAGGAAATGTATTTGTAATATTCTATCTATTTATCTATCTATCTATCTATCTATCTATCTATCTATCTATCTATCTATCTATCTATCTATCTATTTATCCAACTATCATAAAGTATTATGGTACTCTTAATTTCAGATACAGTATTTTTATTCTATAAACCCCAGCTCTTAAACATCCCAGGTACAACTAAACAGCTCAATCTTTAAATCCACTGATTTCCAAGGGTTGAAGAAATTTGAAAGTGCACATGTGATTTATTTCCCACCACATTATGCTTCTGGACAAATGTTCAAAATATAGCAAATCATGCAAATCTTTATTAGTGCTATCCCCTATACAGTCTGCTCTTTCATGTCTTATTCGAGGAAGTTTTTTGTTAAGTGATATTTATTAACTACTGAATAGATTTTGTTGGAGAAATACACACAATTTGAGCCCATATCCCTATTAGAGGAACACACGTTTTTGATTACCTATTTAATCAGTTTGTTATAATTGCCTCATTGTCATTTGAAGAGCATAAAAGGCATACTGGATAAGTAAAAAAATACTGCTTGGTGGATTGTAGTATTGCACATTTTTTGTATTACTTGGATGTCTTTGCCATATTAAAGTATGGGTACAACATTGCAAGGAGAACACATAAAAGAAGCGCTGCTTCTCAATGGCTCAGGAAAGGAATGAGTTGGGTGCTTGTAGCTGGGAGCATGTCCTTGCTCCAATATGAGCCCATATAAACAGAAGAAGCACTAGTCAAACACGGGATTCCACTGGAATAGTTTATTGATGCTTGTATCACATCACCGGTGCCCCGCCCAAGGTCTGCCCCCTCTGACATGTTTCACCCAACCACAGGCAGAGTCGTAGAGATGAGGGTGGTCCAGGGTAGGCTGTGCTTTATATCATCAAGTTCATGTGGATGTTATTACATGGTAACACAGTTAAAGGGGACCAGCCTTATATCTCACTGAAACAAAACCACAAGTTGTTAGGGGATTGCTTTGTGTCATGCATACAGACACAGTGATAGTCTTGCATATATAATTTATAAATTAATGTCTTTATTTATTTATTTATTTATTTATTCATATAACAGCATTGTTGAATTTACAGAACATTGTATGATATTGTATGCTATGTTTCTCTGTTTTGATGAGATATAAGGCTGGTCCCCTTTAATTGTGTTACCATGTTATGATACACACATAAACGTGATGGTAAAAAGCGCAGCCTACCCAGGTTTTCCCTCATCTCTACGACTAAACCTGTAATATGGTGAACTGCATCAGTGGGGAGGACCATGGGCGGGACACCAGTGATGTGGTCAAATCTGGTGTGCAGCGAGCTTTCTGTTTGTATGGGTACAACATTACATCTGCCTTCCTATACTTTGCCCCACCCTTACTGTCATTTGTTTTTCATAGTTACAGATTAGTACCAGTAATTTCAAATTTAAAGGTTATTTCAAGGTCCCAAAGATGTACATTAAAAATACACGTATTCCATAAAAAGTCAACAAAAATAATGCAAATATTATTATTATGTAGATCATAATTTACTCACTAATAATGTTACTCTTATTTTTTTAGGAGAGAGGGGGAGCCTCCTTTGGAAAATGGCTGGATCCCTTACATAGGTTTGACTTACCAGTTCAGAAAAGATCCTTTGAAATTCTTGATCTCTCAACAAGAAAAACATGGGGATGTCTTCACAGTCTGCATTGCTGGTAAGAACTATGACCTGAATTATATATCAGGATTAACTCTAGATAACAGATCAGCACACAGAGGACAGGACAAAAACAAGCACAAGAAGAAATATGTGTGACATAAGTAGCTGTTATTGTATAACTAGAAAATACACTATATTGTCAAAAGTATTGGAACACCCCTCCAAATCATTGGATTCAGGTGTTTCAATCACCTCCATGGCCACAGGTGTATAAAATCAAGCACCTAGGCATGCAGACTGCTTCTACAAACATTTGTGAAATAATGGGTCGTTCTCAGGAGCTCAGTGAATTAAAGCGTGGTGCTGTTATAGTTTGCCACCTGTGCAATCACCTGTGCAATCACCTGCGCAATCACCTGTGCAATCAGTCCATCTGTGAAATTTCCTTGCTACTGAATATTCCACGGTCACCTGTTAGTGGTATTATAACAAAGTGGAAGCAACTGGGAACAACAGCAACTCAGCTACCAAGTGGTAGGCCACGTAAAATGACAGAGCGTGATCAGCGCATGCTGAAGGGCACAGTGTGCAGAGGTCGCCAACTGTCTGCAGAGTCAATAGCTACAGACCTCCAAACTTCGTGTGGCCTTCAGATTGGCACAACAACAGTGCGTAGAGAGCTTCATGGAATGGGTTTCCATGGCCGAGCAGCTGCATCCAAGCCTTACGTCAGCAAGTGCAATGCAAAGTGTTGGATGCATTGGTGTAAAGCACTCAGCCACTGGACTCTAGAGAAGTGGAGACGTGTTCTCTGGAGTGACAAATCATGCTTCTGGCAATCGGGTGGACGTGTCTGGGTTTGGCGGTTGCCAGGAGAACGGTACTTGCCTGACTGCATTGTACCAAGTGTAAAGTTTGGTGGAGGGGGGATTATGGTATGGGGTTGTTTTTCAGGGGTTGGGTTTGGCCCCTTAATTCCAGTGAGGGGAACTCTTAAGGCATCAGCATACGAGGACATTTTGGACAATGTTATGCTCCCAACATTGTGGGAACAGATCCCTTCCTGTTCCACCATGACTGCACACCATTGCACAAAGCGAGGTCCATAAAGACATGGATGAGCGAGTTTGGGGTGGAGGAACTTGACTGGGCTGCACAGAGTCCTGACCTCAACCCAATAGAACACCTTTGGGATGAATTAGAGTGGACACTGCGAGCCAGGCCTTCTCGTCCAACATCAGTACCTGACCTCACAAATGCGCTTCTGGAAGAATGGTCAAACATTCCCATAGACACACTCCTAAACCTTGTGGACAGCCTTCCCAGAAGAGTTGAATCTGTTATAGCTGCAAAGGGTGGGCCAACTCAATATTGAACCCTATGGACTAAGACTGGGCTGCCATTAAAGTTCATGTGTGTCTAAAGGCAGACGTCCCAATACCTTTGGCAATATAGTGTATCTAATATTGGTAATTGTCTAATTCAATTGCTAAATTGCTTAAGTGTAAGCAAATCCTTTATTTGTTGACATTTATTTGTAAAATTAATTGGCACAAAAAGGTTTGGTTTTAATGTTCGTCTCATTTAACTATAATTGTATGTTTAGCATTGAAATGCATATAAATGAAGTGGAGCTATCTATTTCAAAGCAGTCTTATATTATTTTTTAAAATTAATAAATTTATTTTTTTGAGTCAGAATCATGGGGATAACACACTGGCACAATTACAAATAAGGCAAATCTCTATATGGATAACATTGGAAAAAAACTATTCACTTATTTAACAAGAATCTAGAAGGGAATTGATGAAAGTAACAACTTAACTATATGACCTACCGCTCTACTCGTAAAGGTCACTGTAAGGCTTTTTGTTTTCTTTAGATAACTGATAAATAACCGTGTTGGTAAAAAACTAAATACAAAATTTAGGTCTTTGTATTACTTTTTTGAATTTAAAGTTAATAAAGAACAAAGGTGCGTGAACTAACGTTATTAGGAAGGTGCAAGAACTTTATGGTGCTTCCAAGTACCTTTATTTGTCTTAAGCCCAGGCCCATCCTGCACTAACCCTGCCCCCTGTCATTCAACTCCTACTGGTCACGGAGGTTCTGATATTTGACTGCTGTATAAGGTGGATACGGTTTATTGTGGGAGCAATGATTCTTATTCTTTACTTGTAAAGATGAGGTGTACAGCCTGTGTCAAGGATCCATGGTCATCTCCAGATTATAATGAACTGACTGGAATATAGGTGCAGGTACCACCACTTTACCAATAATGCTAGTTTATTCACTGTGGTGGACATGACAGGATCACTTTAAGCAACGTTTCAAGTGCATTCCAGTTCAAGGCTCATTGTGGTCTCCAGTTATAAAGTCTTACCACTTTAGAACAACACATTTATAAAGCACAGCGGTGTCTGCATGTTTTGCCACTTAGAAACAAACAGAATGCTATTTAAATGACCGAACCACAAGCAAAAAAAGGTTGGGTGGAGAGCCCTGGTAAAGTAATGTGACCCGCCTCTGCTCCAATCATGATTTTCTTCCTTTAGAGTTATGCAGAGAGAACTCTATGTAACGCCACGGGCTCCATAAGTTTTTTAAAAAAATGTAGGCCATGGTGTGGAGTAATATTGTGATGTCCAGTTTTAAATATGACCCTCTTACAATTTCTTGCTCTTGCTAATAAAGTAGCTATTGAAATTTAAAAAAAGATCAATTCAATACTTATACATGTTGTTTGCAATATAATGGTATGAAGACTGCCTGTCTACTGCAAATCTTACCTTCTCTACTATCAGTACATGGTTTACTGCTATAGTACAGACACAGGTCCTGTCAACAGTTATGATCAACAGATATTGTTTTAATTATCAATCTTTGAAGCAGTTCATTTGGAAAATGCAGAACGATGCGCAATGGATCCTTGCCTTGCTTGTGGACCGGTGAAGTGATTTTACCGATTGTACTTTCCATTGGGCTGAACAAATGATTGTCATTGTAAAAAGTCACAAGGGACATGGATGTCATCTTAATAAAGAAATTAAAAGGCACATCTTTTCATGAGAAACCATGTAAATTCCTGACCTGTCGTAGAAAATAGTTCTCTAATTGGTTTTGTGTGGTGGTGCAGCAGAATCATTTTCCCCAGACGTCATCCTGGCGAAGCACTACTGTACATCATTGTCAACAGTTCACTGAAATCTTCCTAATAAGAGCCCGATTACATAAATTTGATCATCCAGTAGAAGAAATGGAGCAAGGTAGAGTAGATGATAGTATTTTCTAAGACATTATTCTGTGTAAGAATCAAGAGGAAGTAGACAGCTCTCTAGATATCTTTAGGGTTCTTACAAGGACTTGCATCTTGCCTTTTGTAGAAGTGACACAGTGCATATGGGATTTGTGGAATGAAGCTTTTCGTTTTACATTAGCCATGGTGACTCTGTCTATGTAATGGTCTGCAAATAGGCCAGTCTATGGGGCCAGGACATTACCTGGGAAGAATTTAACCCTAACAGGCTACCAGCATTCTTGTCTCTAATTGGTGTTTTTGTAACAAATGATGCAGAAGGTAATTGTGTTGTCTTCCCTTTGGTTGCATCTCTGCACAGCAGGGGGAAGAAGGCAAGCCACATCCAGATATGTGATGCCATTGTGACTTTTTGCTGCTTGCTTAAGGTAAAACAGTAAAATGAAAGTTTGTCGCAGTTGAAGTTTTTTAGTTTTCAGTATTACAATATGAAGTAATACACGGCTTGACTTTCATGTAACTTTGGGAATATTTGTAAAAATGCACTGAAAACAAAAGTATTTCTTAACTATGACAAGGAGATTTTTAGCTCTTGTTTTGTAGTGCAAGCAATAAAAACTTAGCCATTCTCTTCTGTAATGTTTTCTGAGACTTAATGAGAAAGAGAATGGAAAAACCTGCATTAAAATAACTTTTTTAAATATGTAATTTGTGCATGTGTAGGTAGTTTATATTCATACAATAGCAAGCTTCCATTTTGTATAAATGTATTTGTATTTTTTGTTTGCCTGCCCTTTAAAAGTCAGTTGTGCCTTTTGGTCATAAACAGTGTTTGCTGCTTTTCTCTGGGCTCAGGTTCCTAGTGAGTAGAGAGCTGCATATGCTGGGGCTACAGCCGCCATTTTCACTCTGTATACCCCTGGCCTAGTGAGAGTCCACACTGACAACCTGAAGCCTTCATTGACCACCAGAGAGCCCATACTGACACCTGAGAGCCCATACTGACCACCTGAGTGTCACACTGGCCAGCTGAGAGCCTGCACAGCCTCCTGAGAGCCTGCACAGCCCCTCTGAAACCCTGCATAGCTCTCCTGAGACCCTGGAGAAATCAGGCCATGAACCCAGAGCAACACAGAGTATGTAGCTTCATATTATTCTCTCTTGCTGTATAACGTATTGCTGGGATTTTTAGTCCTCAATAGCTGATGGTATTATTCTGCAGTGCTTTACAATGTACTGCTGGGATTTGTAGTCCTCTATAGTTGGCGGTATTCTGCATTGCTGTATAATGTATTGCTAAGATTTCTCGTCCCTCTACAGCTTGAAGTCAGTGGCAGATCTACCAAGGTTGCAGCTGCAATCGGGCACTGGCGCTCCACCACTGACTCCAAGCTGTAGAGAGACTACAAATCACAGCTGGGACAGGACAAAGAGGGTCCCCCGTGACCGTCGCCATTTCCATAAAAAGGCCCACCAAAATCTACAGCACCAGGCCCGTGATGCTCTTCATTTAGCCCTGCTAAGAGGGGATTTCTGTTTACTTGTGTGCCCAGGACAGGAAGTGAAGTTGCCCAAGTCAGACAGACACAAAAAAAACTGACAGGGGCTTTAGAAATAATGTACATTTTTTGATCCCAACCACACTGCACTTCACGTTCCATTCCTAATATCCTGTTTGCCTGTGCTTTTTTGTACAACTACTTTCTGACATTTCCCCCATAATAAGCGAATGTCAACATATCATCAGTGTCGTTGAGACCTAACCTATTTAATTAACATTATAGAAGTCTAGGCATCAG